CATTTTTTCCTGTAAATTCTATGCAGACAGATCCCCACATTTATTCAGTTTGTGTTCCCATGTGAATGACAGATTGTTTTGGATGACCCCAGCATCTGGATGACTTCATCTGCCAGGACAGATTTGGACTATATGAAGTGGTATTTATGGATGTCTTGTTAATAGAAACCAGTTTCACCGCTGCTTTGACCTGTGGTGTGAGAAAGCTGCAGCTGTGTTTGCAACTGTAGTCACATAGCATTTTGCTGTAGTCAAATTATAATTTTTTTAATATTGTGCCTAAAAGAGAAATTACAGTATGTATAGCCTTATATAGTAATTGTAGTATTGTATATGATTTATTTTATTTAATATGAATAATACAAATAATATTAAATACGCAGCTATTTTATTTTAGAAAATCTTTAAAAAAAATGTTTTACATTTCTTTCTAGCAACCTGAATTGCAATTATGCCGATGCAACCTGCAATACAATTACATTTTTACATTTTATTTTAAATTCGAAGTGACTTAAATTTGCAATCAACATATATACATTTTTGTTTTTTTAAGTTTAATTTTGTGAAATAGTGAAGTAGGCCTACATTGGATTTTGAGTTGTTTTTGTAACTCAAAACTATCCATTTATCATAAATGATAAGGGCTGTGCTTTTTCGGAAATTTTGTGACTTTATATAAGGCCGTCTGTCAGGCCTTTGGGTGTTAGAGAGGGCTGGCTTATGGTTATTGATATTGAAATGAATGGGTCAGTTCCCAAAACTGCCTGGACAGACTTCAAAGAAAGCAGCATTGCCCTGCACAGAGAGCAAGGGGCGTCTTAGCGAATATACCAAGTTTCTAGTCTGGCTTGGAGCTAAAACCTCTCAGAAGGTCAGCCAGGACTGTCTGAGGTCTAAATAAAGCAGTGAAATGAGACTGTGGTGGCTTTCGCACCTGTTGCTGCTGTTGCATATATCTCTTTTATTCCCCCAGTAATCTCTGTGCCGTGTCTCGTAGCTACCAGACATTTATTGAATGCTCTCACTCGCAGACCACTCATAATGGTTCATGCATGAAGCAGCTTTTGGTTGAAGACTGAATACAATTTGAGTATCAGTCGCTTTCATGCTCTCTCACCTTAGATACCCAGCACACATCTGAATGCACAACAAATAGGAGCTAAATAAGCCACTCCATTCACATATTCCCATGTCTGCGTCTAGTGTTTTGTTTCAATGACGTTACTAAATTTGCAGCAGTTTTCTCCACTGTCCCAGAGGAAAGGATTAGGTGCAATTTCATTTTCCTCCATCTCACCTTCGCCTCTCCTGGGCGATTCCAAACTGTGAATAAACAAGGCAGATCTTTCTTCATTTCGACTAACCGGAGCATCACAAGGGGGAGGCAGGGTCCAAATCGATGAGCAGCATTTTGCCAGCTTTTGAGAGTGTCTTTGCCTAAACTGCACACAGAGGGAGAAAATAAAAATGGGCATATGTTATTAAAGGATGAAGAATGAGACACTGGTGACAGAATTGACCTGACAATACTAAGCATGGGTTCTTGAATTGTAACCAAATAATAATACATTTAGTGTTTTTACAATAATGCTGTCAGGATTATGGACTAGGATTATTGCGTTCTATGGCACTAGCCTCAACACCGCGTGCAGAGCGCCGTCGTCCGAAGATGGCCCTCAAGCTGAATTCGCCGTCTTTGTGGAGTGGACACTGGCGAGATATGGATCTCCGTTCCCCGCCGGTTCCCAGGAATTAATCGCCAGTGCCACTCCCGACCCAGAACCCAGCCCACCATCTCCCCGATGCACGGAGTGCATTCCCGAGCCCACCGCTGACGGAGAGCCAGAGCCCGCCGAGAGAGCGACAGAGCTGAGGATCGCCGCGGAGCCAGATGCCGTGACATCAGTCAAGGTGTGTGAGCCGGCAACAACGCCTGCCACGAGGGAGAAAGCCACAGACGGTGTGAGTGCGGAGAGGAGCTCCGCCCCCTGCACCGCGGCTGAGGGTGAGCTGAGTATGGCCGGGCGAAAGTGCCAAAAGGACGAGGAAAGGGTTCCAGCCCTTGAATTCAGTTCAGAGCGCCCTCCTGTGGCCGCTCCTCGAAAAATTTTGCCGCTGTGACCCAGTTTCTTCCTCATGTTGATTGTGTTCATTTGATTCCAGGTGTGTCTCGTTCCTCCCCAATTATCCTGCCTTTAAAAGCCCTAGTCCTTTCAGTTCTTGTTTGTCGGGTCTACTTTTTGAATGTCCTCTTTGTTCTCGGTTTTCCTGTGGATTATTAAAGACTGTGTTATTCAAGTACTCCTCGTTTCCTCGTTCCTTGCTCCTTGCTCCCCGAGTGAATTGTGACAAATGCCATGAAATGGAAAATCAAACAAAATTACAGAGGTTGCCCTTTCATGGCTCCTGAGACTAAATTGAGTTCTTGTTCTTAATAACATTCATGAAAACTTTCAGTTTACACTACTGTTCAAAAGTTTAGGGTCAGTACGGTCAGTCACTTTTATTCAGCAAAGACACTTTAAATTGATCAAAAATGACAGTGAAGACTTTTACATTGTTACACAACAAAGTGCTGGTCTTTTGAACTTTCTATTAATCAAAGGATCTTGCAAAAAAAAAACTAGAGTAATGGCTGCTACAAATTCAGATTTGCCATCACAGGAATAAATTGCATTGGAAAATATATTACAATAGAAAACAGTTTTAAATTGTAATAATATTTCACAATATTACGGTTTTACCGTATTTTGGACCAAATAAATGCAGCCTTGAAGAGCTGTCTAGAGAGAGATGTCTTTCAAACACATTACAAAAATATTTTCAACCCCAAACATTTGAATGGTAATATAATGGCGACATAAATTTTTTGTGTTAATTTAATTTTTTATTGTTATTATCTAATAAAAAATAATTTAAATTAAATAGATTTCTCTTGTGCTTTTAAATCCTTTATAGAAATTTTCTATGATTATAAATCAGTAACAAAACCTGCAGTAACCAACTAGTATTTTGGCAGATGCAACCATGAAAATCTTTGTTTTAATATTTCAGCACCATATATCACATCTTGTAGCTAGAGATTCTGTTATATGCTTTCATTTTATTCTTATAATAAGCCATTGTTACTGAGCACATTGATGTCTGTATAGTATCCTCTCTTATTCATTCATTGCTATCACATTCACACGTTCTTCATCTTTTCATCCTGCCCGCTGTACTTTTGTCCACACTTCCACCTGCGTGCCACCTCTCTCAGTCTCCTTTTGTCCTTCTCCCCACACCATTAGAGCTATCCTGCATCTTTCTGCCAGGAGTGTAATGGGGCTGACAGAAAGCCAGCTCATCTCAGAAATGTATGTCTTGGTGCCAAACACGCAGCCGTTGGCAGGGGAGAGCAACAGCTCAGGCGAGCCTTTTTAACTTTACCCAGGCTGGGGTGAAAAAAGCTGATTCTTACCCTTTGAATTATTCACTGCGCTGACCCATGGGTACGCACCTGCTATCCTCATTTACGTGAAACTATGAATAAGGGAAATTTGCCATGGCCTGGTATAATGTACGCTACCAGTCAAAAATTAGACACACTTGACTAAAGCTTTGTTTCTTAAGTGATTTTTAAATGTTTGAAAAAAATTACTGTAATTCTTGGAATTATACAGGTCATAGACATACTGTATATAAATGCATACATATAAAACATATATACATATGTAGATATATACTACCAGTCAAAAAATTTTTCTTGCATTTATTTGATCAAAAATAAAGTACATCAGTATTCTGAAATATTATTAAAATAAAAAAAGCTCTTCTATTTTGATATATTTTAAAATATGATTTATTCCTGTGATGAAAAAGCAAATGCATACATATAAAACATATATACATATGTAGATATATACTACCAGTCAAAAATGCTCACCAGGGATTTTTCTTGCATTTATTTGATCAAAAATAAAGTACATCAGTATTCTGAAATATTATTAAAATAAAAAAAGCTCTTCTATTTTGATATATTTTAAAATATGATTTATTCCTGTGATGAAAAAGCTAATTTTTCAGCAGTCATTACACAGTGTGACATTATCCTTCAGAAATCACTGTAATGTCCTAACTCGGTGCTTAAGAAACATTTATTATTAATAATGTTGAAACTGGTATTGTAATAATATTTCACAATATTACTGTATATTTACAGAATTTTGATCAAATAAATGCATCCTTGGTGAGCATAAGATACTTCTTTCAAAAACATTTTTAAAAAACCCTTAACAAACTAATAACAAAATTTTGGTCTGTAGTATGTATGTGCATATAAAATATATAAATAAAATATTACAAATATTATTATATTATTGTGTGTTTTATGTATTATGTATTTTATAGTTATTATTATTTAAAATTCTTACATTTATTTATTATGTATTTTATTATTATTTTTATTATTATTTAAAATTCTTACATTTATTTATATTTTTTAATTAGGTTTATTTATATAGAAAAGTATTATTACATTTTTTATAGATCTTTTTTGACCATATAGTTAAATTGGAAAAAATATTTCTTTAACTCTCATACTATACTTCCATTTCGATTCTGAAATTTGAATTCGGAAACCATTTGACTGGTATTGTAACTAGGCACTTTGAACATCAGCAATTTGATTTTCAACAACTGCTTTATGAATCAACCCAGGGTGCACAGAAATGATTTATAAATGAAGATCATTTATCTACACCATGTTTTTGTAACTACCACCATTGTCAAAGCATTAGACTTTTCCCAGGATCCCAAACCTGTCTATCCTGAGACAGTGTTTTTTTTCCCCCGGTGAGATCAGTGCTTGCTGTCTGTGCACACTGTGTTGCTGCTGCTGTTTCCCAAGATCTAAACGGATGCATGAGGCAGCAGGATTCCACTGCTTCTGCCTCATGGGGGACCAGCCATCTCATGGGATCAGGAACATCTGATGATGTTAGCGTCACTATGTTGGCACAATGGGGGAGCTCAAGATACTGAGACTGAGACCCACCCACATACTGCGCTTCTTCCGTGCCTCCCTGAGACTCCTTCATGCTGTAAGTAAGTTCTATTACATGAGCAATAGAGAGGAAACTCAGAACACAGCTTCTGTCAGCTTCTCTTTCCTTCTCGGCTCTTGATCCCGTCCCTTTGGTACGCATTTGCGCAAATGTACCAGATTTGCACAGATCAGTTTACAATGTGGGATGAACTTCCTCTCTCACAGTTGAGGCTACAGAATATAGTCAGTCACAGCCTCCATAGACATGATTAAATCTGTCATATCTGACTAATGCAATTGCTCAGCAGAAATAAGATAATGACAGTTCATTCTCAGAGCCTGCATCATTCTATTTATGTGCTCATGGCTATTAATTTACATTATGGCTGTATCTAATGTGAAAATAGATGTTCATGCACCATGCTGTTCCGAAAAACAAAAGTTCAGCCATCATCTAAATGCTTTTTGCAAAATGAGGTGGAATAATTTCTCCATTCGCCAAGATGTAGATGTAGTTCACTAGATATATTAGGGCATGATTTCCCCAGGATTTACGCTACCAGACAGAAGTTTGTACACACTTGAATGAGTTTATAATGATCTTTGATCTAAAGCCCTATGCTTACATTCTTGATATGTTTTGTAGACAAATATAAATTGGATTTATGTACATTGTATTTTTTGTAGAAAGGCACAGTTTTATTTAATTTTTTTTCATGCATTTGGCACACATGCACCAGGATGCACCCTTATAAAGTTGGTTGAGGGAACGGCCAGAGTATGTTAAGCTACTTTGACCAAACTAAAACATAATAAGTTTTCATTTTTGTATAATTTTTAGCAATGCATAATTCCTATACTAACAGTTGTGTCATTTTATTGTCTTGATGCTTTTACTGTTCCTTTAACATTTGGGAAATAGTAAAAATAAAGAACAAATTGGTGTGTCCAAACATCTTGACTGGTATACTGAAGGGTCTCAGAATGTAGAGAAGCTTAGATCTGACACATAAGAGGCTCAGAACCTCTGGAGATGGAACCAGACCAGAAGCTTGACCTCAGGGTCACTGAAGAGTGATGTGATGTTATGAATGGGGATGAAGAGCTATGGGAGAGGAGCGTTCTCGTTACTAAGGAGTCAGGAATGAGATAAAGGCCACAGTTCGACATGACTGGAATGTAAACAGATGGGTCATGCATGAATAATTTTGTGGAATCTCAAGTCTCCATCATCCCTCTTCTTTATCCAATGGATTCGCTTGCATGCGACCACATACTCATAACAGCATCCTCCCTCCATCTCTCAGTGGAATCTCTGTCACAACTCCCCCTTCTGTCTTGGTTGATTTTTGTTTTTATGTCATGCAAGTACATAAAGTACACTAAAGAATAAAAATGTAATGCCACTGAGGATTCCAGTCACTGCTCAGTCTGATTCGGTTCATAGTTTTCAGGTCCAAGTTCATGTATGGACCCAAGTGAATTGTGTGGATGTGCTTGATGGATTGCTTTTTTTTGTATCTGACACAGTTGAATTAGGATGACTAGCAGCTAGTTTTTCTAAGTTGTCATTTGTCATGTGTTAGAAGCTAGTTACACTGCCGTCCAAATGTTTGGGCTCTTTAAAAAAAAATGAAATGAATACTTCTATTTAGCAGGGATGCATTAAATTGTTAAAAAGAGTGACAGTAAAGACTTTTATAATGTCAAAATAAAGTAAGTAAAGTAAAGTAAAGTAAAATAAATGCCTTTCTTTTAAACTTTCAACTCAATTAATCCTGGAGTACAATTTTTCAGTTTCCATATTAAGCAGAACAACTGTTTCATACAGTTTAATAGCAAGAAATATTCCTTGGGCCCAAAATCAGCATATTAGAATGATTTCTGAATTCAGCTGAATTTCTGATTCAGCTTTTTCATCACAGGAATAAATTACATTTGAAAAGATATTAAAATAGAAACCAATTATTTTAAATTGTAAAAATATTTCACAATATTGCTGTTTTACTTTATATTTGATCAAATACAGGCAGTTTTGGTGAGCATAAGAAACTTTGAGAAAATTAAAAAAATCTTTCTGTGACATTTGCTTAAGCATTTCTTTTATAAAATTGTCTGAAATGTCATGGCAGACAGTTTTAGCAGATTGTATGCATGCAGTTGGACATCTTTCATTTAGCCTCTGAAAATGTATGAGGGATTTTGGTAATAAATCAGTGCTCAGCGTAGAATAAATAAATGAAAAGCAATACAGGTAAACATAAACTGAGAGATTAGTACAGCTGTCACAGCCTTCCTTCTGGTGTAATTTCAGAGCATTTCACATGGCCAAGATAAGAGAATTTAAGATGAACCTTTCATTGTGCGGCTCTACAGTGTACTACCTTAAGAATTTCCTCGAAATAGTCATGTCTGATTTTTTTTCTATTGCTATTTCACAATGTTTTCACGAGGCTATCAAGACCTGTAAAGGCTGTGTAAAGAATGAAATCTTTTGAAGGTCCTGACCCATTTCAGAGCACAAAGCACCATGAAGAACCCAATTAGATGCTTTTCTCCAAATGATGAAGCCAACTGACATCAGTTTATTTCTTTTTCTCTCTATACAATGACCAAAAGAGCATTGGACTCCATTGGATAAGACATATGAAAGTATGGCTGATCATAATTGCTCCCCATCTTTCCCATCCTCTCTGTGTTTGTACAATAGCCTGAACCAGAGGTCAATAATACTTCACTCTACTCACAGAATTCCCACACATTTGCTCTGAAAGGTACACTGGTTGGTCTATATCCAAAATTCAAACATCCGAGACGTCAGTCTCTGCATTGACAAGACAGAAATCTCTGCTCTCTGTCAACAGACAACAGCGTGAGAGCGCTGTGTGCCGAATGCATTCAGTAGACATTGTTACAGCTGCTTTGGACGGCGACCCCTGTGGTCAAGAGGTGACTGCCCCCTTCAGCTGTAACCAATAAAACAGGAAGTACCCGACGTGAGCAAATAGCAGCTGGGAACAAGAGCTGTTTAGATTCTGCTCTGGTGTTGTTTTGGTTAGAAAAATATGTTCAGTGTTCACAAATACTCTGTGGTGATTATGAAACAGCATCCGGCTCAACAGATGGAAATGCATGAGCACAATGGTGACTGCTGCTCTCATTTATTCTAATGATCTTACAGAGGCTCGCAGGATCACGGCAGCAGCTATGTGGCGTGCTACATTTTTCATATTCTGGCTCTCGTGGGACGGCTGAGGCCTTAGGAAAAGGATGCTCCAGACTGGAGATCAAAATGAGGAAAAGCAACGCTAAGTGTCTTCTTTTTGATGTGATCACTCAACGGTCGCCCAAGGTGCAAATTTCAACTCTCTGACCTCAGAGTTTGATGAATCTGGGCTGATTTCATCCTACCTACTCATGATTAATTTCCCTCTGCAATTTGCCAAGATTGAATTATTGATGCAGTCTTTGCCACTGGTGGGCTAATTTGTGACATATAGACAATGGAAGAAGACAATGAAATCCAATGGGAAATGCTTTAAAAAAAAAAAATGATTTCACTTGACTTGCAGCAGGCATTTGTACTCATGGCTTGTCTTGTTAACAAAATGACTCGCAAAAATGTTTGATCACAAAAGATTTTTTAATGTGTCATTTTATTTGTAAATTTGCCTTTGATAAAAAGTATGAGTAGAAAATTACATTGTTATTAACTCCTAAAAGTGTTATTATTATTGCATTTTAAAGATATTTTTGTCAAATGTCCAATACTACAAAAAAAAAATAATAAAATAAAATAAAATAAAAATAATAATCAGATTTTTTTTTAATTAATCAGAATTTTTGACTTGGTAAAATGTCTAAACATCATAAAAATATAACTTTAAAAAATATTATAAGACTTAAAACTTTAAGAAAATAAACTTTAAAGATATTTACTGAAAATAAGTATTTTATTCAAGTACATTTCTAAAGTAAATGTATGTTATTTTTTTAAATGTAAAGATAAAATGCAACGAATAAAAATGAAAACAAAAAAACAACCCCCCCAGATTCTATATCCTATGCAAGTTTGTCACAAGTACATTTGACATGGGGTAAAATGAAACAATGAAAGCAATTCTCAGGCTTTGCTTTAATTTTATACTCATCCCTCTTTTTATTTTTAGCAGATAGAAGTAGAAGTTGCTGTAGCTTCAAATATGACTATTATTGGACAACAGATGGCAAATATTTAAACATCTTAATGATTTTTTTTTTTTTGCTTTCCAGTAAAATGAAACATTTAGATAATATTACTTTTTTTAGAGAATGTATATTAATATTTTTCCCTTTTGGAAAACAAAAGATTTTTCTTCTTTTAAGAATAAACTGAACCAAACTTATTGTGATTTATGCTTAAAAATGCGCTCAAACCTGGATCAGAAAAGTACTGCAGCGTCGTGGTGCCTCGGTCTCTCACATCATTGCTCTTTTGCGTGAGAGGTTTGTAACTTGCTGAGGCAGTTGGGTTCACTCAAAATGGCCTTCTTAAATTAAAGCTATCACTCACGTCCACACATACGCCTTTACTGTGCGTGCGATGATGCTTTTATCCTGGTGTTGTAGTGCAACCGCATTGTTAGAGCTGTGCATTAGACACTGACCTGTTGCTTCGTTTCTCATCCTGTTTTTCCAGCCCCAAGTAAATGCGTTCAGACGGAACAGCTGTGAACCTTCAAAGGGCTCACTATTTGCATGTCCTGGGCACACACACATCTCTAGACAAAACCAGGCAGTACCCTTATTCAGGCCTACGGAGCGGGGTGTTCACCCCCATGCTACACTGCCTCTATTTTTCTGATGGTGAAGATGGTTTTGGAATGTGAAGTGAGAGAGAGACGGCTCAGGGAATGCCATGGGGGAAGGAGGAGATGCTAGAGAGCATATCTGCGCCCTCTTGTGTAAGGTTCAGCGTTCTTAGACAATGAGGCAAAGGTATTGAGAGTCATGTCACATCTTTGAGGGCGGCGGTAAATGGGGATGGGGCTGCTTGAATAGGGCACTCTGTTAAAG